CCACCCTCTACCAAGAATAAATTTAAAAAAAAAAAAAATTTTAGGGCTGGGATTGTGGCTCAGCAGTAGAGTGCTCACCTAGCACGGGCAGGACCCGGGTTCAATCCTCAGCACCACATAAAATTAAAGGCATTGTGTTGTGTCCATCTACACCTAAAAAAATAAATATTTTTTTAAAAATTTTTTTTAATTTTTTTTTTTAAATTTTGGTTGTAGATGGACACAATGCCTTTGTTTATTTATTTATATGTGGGTGCTGTGGATCGAACCCAGTGCCTCACACGTGCTAGGCAAACACTCTACCACTGAGCTACAACCCCAGCTCCCCCAAGAATAATTTTTTTAAATTTTATTCACAATACCTTTATTTCACTCATTTATTTTTTACGTGGTGCTGAGGATCCAACCCAGGGTCTCATGCATGCAAGACGAGCACTCTACCACTGAGCCACAACCCCAGCCCCTCCCCCCAAGAATAAATTTTTTATGTAATAAAAAATTTTACGAATTTTGGGTGATACCTGTAATGAAGTTTCTATTCCTAATCTAGAAGGGGGTGACGTTTCATTACTCCCTTCTTGTTGCTGAGGTATCAGAAGGTATTTTTCCATTTATGCCTATTTCCTTTCATGCAAAGACATATTCAGTTCCCTTTTTTCCTGGTCATACTCCTGGCAAGCCTTTTTATTTCTTTGTACCTATCCTCAGTAATCTGCCTTAGGTCCTCCTTTTGAGCCACTCTTGTTTCCTCCATTTATTTGATTAAATTTCTAACTGAGCCTGTTTCTTTAAGTCCACACATCTTTATGGACCTCCCTTCACACAGCTAAAACTTGATCATCTGGTCTCAGGAAACATTAAAATAACATTATCCACAACAACAACAAAATCAGGGGAAAATGACATCTGGCTTTGGAATACATCATATGTAGCTTTGGGCAAGATTTACTTTCTTAATTAAGTTTTGGTTAAGCCAACATTAGAAAGATTTTCTTTTATGATGGTGGATACCTGACTCAGTTTCAAAATTTGATGCAGTTTTTTTTTTTTTTTAAGGCCATTCAAGGCATCAATCATGGTTTTTAACTTGTTCCTTCAGTCTGTTAAAATCTTTCATAAAATCTGTTTTCTGTTTCCCCTGACTTATCTCCTACTTTTCTTGGTATCCTGATCCAAATGGGTTTATATTAATTTACAAGTACCTTTTGCATGAGAACTCAAAAGCATTTTAAAAACACTGAATCCAGTGAAATTTTTAGTGCAGGTAATATTTGACAGAAAACTATTTCTACCAGATACTACAAGAAAATTTGGATTTCTAGAGTAAATTCCACTGGTAATTCTAGCAAAAATATTTAGTAGGATTTTATGATTAGTTGAAAACAGAAAAACTTTAATACTGAACAGGTATACAAATCCATATCATCAATATATTAATCCCGTATCTGAAAACTCTACTAACTTAAATTCCCCAGTGGGGCTGGGGCTATAGCTCAGCAGTAGAGCGCTTGCCTCATACAGTCAAGGCACCGAGTTCAATCCTCAGCATCACATAAAAATAAATAGATTAAAAATAGAAGAAAAAAATATGTAAATTTTTCTTAAATAAATAAATTCACCAGGCCAGGCATGGTGGCACATGCAAGTAATCCCAGTAACTCAAGAGGCTGAGGCAGGAGGATTCCAAGTTCAAAACCAGCTTCAGCAACTTAACAAGACCCTATCTCTAAATAAAATACAAAAAAGAGCTTGAGATGTGGCTCAGTGGTTAAGTGACCCTGGGGTTCAATCCCCAGTACCAAAAAGAAAAAGAAAAGAAATTAAATCCCTCAATACACATACTTATAGAAAATAGCTTCAAAACAAACATCAATCCTTCCTCTTCACTGGGAATGTCACTCACTCAGTGGGAGAGTGCTTGCCTAGCATGTGTAAGGCCCTGGGTTTGATCCCAGCACTATAACAAACAAAAATAAAGAATCCTGTCCCTTCTCCTAAACTCAGGCTAAAGTCCAAAGCTTCTCAGATCTACTCAATTTTTTAGAGGTTGGGAAGACTGAGGATTGAACCCAGGGCCTCACTAAACCCCCAGTCTACCTACTACTCTTAAACACTGATCTTGGCTCCACTTCTACTCCCAACCATGCCACAAATAATTTTTGAGTGGATAAGCAAAAGGAAAAGAATGGGGTTAACAGAATTTTCTCTTTTGCCCCCTTCTCTGTTAATGCCATTAAGCTTTTGGCCAAAGAGACTTAAAACCCCCAACTTCACATTGACTATTTTATAGACCTCAATTACATTCAACAAGCTAAGCCAAAGGACACAGACTTCCCAAAATGAAGAGGGAGCAAAAGTGGATGATTCTGTAGTTCTGTTCCTTGCCCCTTCCATAATTATGCACTAACTGAAATACTTGAATAAAATAAGTACAATTTTAAGCCAAATCAGATATTTTACTTTGAATTGCTGACATATCAGAAGTTAAAACTTAAAAAAATTTAAATATTGTTACCACAATTTACACTTTTTTCCACATATATGAATATAGTTTTATAGCATTTGAACAACTTATTCATCATTACTACGATTCAAAATAATCTCTCTTCTATTTTTCCTACCTAAAAATGAACTCAGCTGGGGTTATTTGGCCCAAATTTTTACATAAGTTGCTAAATGTTAACAAAAAAATTAAACAGCAACTTTCCACAATGTCTTCAGTCAGTAAATTCCACAGCTTATTTTTAAACAAAGACAAAAACTTGCCCAGTGTCTAGTCACATTGTGAATAAAATAAAGTCATAAATTCTTAGTTTTTCAATTTACTTCTCTTGGCTTCTGCCTTCACCAAATAAAGAATTCCACAAGCTTTAATTAATTTCAGCTTCCCAAACTGTGTCCATCAATATATGATTCCCAAGGAAAAGTAAATAATTAAAAAATTATTAACTCAACTGGCAAATAGTCCTTTCTTCTTTTACCTTACTTTTAACGTTTCTTTTCTTGATGTAGATTAAACAGTGTAACTTTTAAGGAAAAAGCTGTCACCTACTGGTATTATCAGCATCATAGCATGGCAAAAAAAAAAAAAAAATCTGACAATCTCAGATCCCCAAATGGTAGTCACCAAGGTCTTTCATGAATAGTAAATATTCTCTCTCTCTCTCTCTCTCTCTCTCTCTCTCTCTCTCTCACACACACACACACACACACACACACACCCGGAAAGACAAGAAAGAAACATACCTGGTCATTTTCTAAACAGGTTTGATAGGTTTGGTTCACTTTTAAGAGCAGAGTATTTACTTATAATCTTTTAAAGCAAAGTGGCAGCCACGGCACTGGGTAAATAAAAACTTCAGAGAGTTTTAAAACCCTGCATCTTAACTCACTTCCCCTTGGTTCAAGGGAACGGAACAGCAAGCCCCACAGCAAATGAGATTATGCAACAGGTTTTTCCTCTCCACCTTATTCATCATAGGCTGATTAGAGGTGTGCTTTCTCCAAACAATCCGAGATACCCAGAACTTCAAAAAGTCAAGGATCTTTGCAGTCGACATTTAATAAGCTTCCTTCGGATTTTGCAGTATCCATTCATTTTAAGATCTACCTCTATTTTCTCAGGTTCATAACCGGCTTCCTTTAGGAAATAAATGCAGCATCGGAAAACTAAGGTTTTGCATATATATTTTCCTCTGTGGTATTCTATCACATGAAACACATGATACACAGATCCTCGGCCGTGGCTGGGGTTTTTTTTTCTCACGTTTTATGGCTAGTATAAATTAGGAAGTCTGGAACACCGGAGTCGCCAACGCCATGACCGAGCCCCAGCAGCAAAGTTGAGGGGTTCTTGTTTGTGTTGTTAGTTGGCTGAGTTTAAGGGAGCAGCACATCACCACCCAGGTGGCCTCTCTGCCTACACTAAAGGCGAATTCGGGATAATGGGAAGAGGCTGGCCGGGGCCCCACTTGGCAGGCGTGTTGTGTAACATTCGCGCCTGGAAGTGAGCAGCTTCGCCCGCGAAGGTGCCGCGTCCCAGGCGGCAGTCGCTCTCGGCGGGGCCGGCCCGAGCCCGCACGCACCTCCCGCCCGGCCTCCCGGCGAGGCCTGCACCTCCCGCTTCTGAACGGCTGCCGTCGCCCCCACCCCGCCCCCCCAGAGCGCGGCCGGGACTCCCGAGACCGCAGAGTCGCGAAGGCTGGGCCGGCGGGGCGCGAGCGCGGCGCCCGGCACACGGGGTCTGGGCGCGCCGCGGAGCGTCCATGCTGCCCCGCACCCTCCCGACCCGCGCGCGCTCCCCGCGCCGCCCTCCGAGGCCACTTACTTCTGGGGCCACCGACCCCCCGACTCCCTCTGAGGGAATTGAAAGTTGTCACGGCGTCTCCTCTCCGGGCCCTCGGCTCCCGGGCTAGCTAGGGGCCGCCGCGGAGCCGGAGGGCGGCTGCGCTCCCGCTTGCGTCCCGTCCCGTCGCTCTCGCCTCCTCCTCTTCTTTTCACTATATTATCTTCTCCTTCTCTGAGGGGTGGGCGGGGGCGGGAGGCTTAGGAAGAGGAGACGTTTGCAACTTTTCTTCACTCTTTCTCTTCCACCCCCCCCCCCAATCAAGACTTCCAAAAACAAATGTCGAAATGGGTGAAGAACTTGGGGAGGTAAAGTTGGGGGCCGCGTGGGGAAAGCCGAGGGGGGAAGGAGAGGTGAGAATAATCGTTAAAATTTGATTAAAGCCCCCCAAACAGTGATACACAGAAAGAGGGGGAAAGGCGGGGGGGTGGGGTGGGGGTTGGGGAAAAGAGAAAGAGTCGCTGGTCAGGAAACTTCAAGCGCGGATGAGGTCATTGGTTTAAAAATAAAGAGATGGCGTCACTTGAAACCAATCCCAGTGAATGAACTCAGCGGAGCCCCGGGGAAAGGAGGAGACAGGCGAGGGCAGGGCGGTGGGCGCCGGGCGGGGCCGCGCGCTTGTCCGCCCGCCCATCCCGCGGCCGCCCGAGCCCGCTGCGCGGCTGGACGCCGCGTTTCGGCAGCTCGGGGAGGGGTCGGGTCACGTTCCCTTCCAGAGTTCGGCGACTCGGAGGCAGGTTCCGCAGGCGCTGCTGGGAGGAGCCCCGCTGCCCGCGGAAGCGGCCCCGCGGCCTCCTCCTCCTTCCGCGCCCGCGCGCCTGCTGCCCCGGGCTCGCGTCCCCGGACCCCGAGCTAAGGTCCCTACCCGCCCCAACAGGTTCTGGAGGCTTCCCCCACCGGAACGCAGAACTTTTTCCTCCTCCTCAGATTGTTTTCAGCTGCCTCACTAAGAAACGCAAACGATAATTTGAGAGAATTACAATAGTTTTTTTTTTTTTTTAAATCCGAATCCAAACTGCAGTGCCCTGCATTAAAAAGTTACAGGTAGGTACTTAAAAAACTGCACAGTAGTGTTGTCAGGCACTGAACTATCTGTATGCTGTCATTAAAAGCCCCCGCATGAATATTCCTAAATTATTTTACTTTGCTTATATTTGCAATATAATAAGTAAAAGTATCCTAAAATTCTCCTTAAATATATTTTATATATCGGGCCGCACAGAATCATCTTTAAATCACATAAGGGATTCTCTGCTTTCTTGGGTGGTGCAAGACCTCTGTTGATTTAACTCCAGGTACCTCATGCTTTTTAAAATTTGAACTCATTACAATAGCTTTGTTTTGAGACATTACATAGGCTTTGGAAAACTAGAGACTTGAGGTGGTGACAAATCAGGACTTGGAATCACTGAATAGGACAATCAAAGCTTTATTCCAGTGTGCTTTGAGCATTTGAGCATGAAGCTGCTTCTACTGAGAAGGACTCACGTGGATATCACATAACAGAGATGTGATTAATGACGGAAAAGCACACTGTGAGTGGACTGCTCCATGAGCCAGAATTTATGTGTAGGAATAATCTAGCTCTTAAAACCTTCCGTTGGCAATGTCCCAGAGTAGGGACACTGGCCCCTCAAGGCACTGTTTGTTGCAGGATATTTATGTGGACATTGCTTAAGTGAGTTTTTTAATTGGCAAAAGAACTAAAAAGCAGGTTTGGGTTGGAAAGATAATACATCTCTGTTACTACTTTTCTGCCTCTAAATCCTGCAACAAAAGTGTATTCACTGTGACTGGTAGTCATTTAAGGTTAGCATTAATTAGGGAGTAAGTTCCTGGGTACTTCCTGCTCACCTTTTAGAGAAGGAAAAGGAGACAGCTGGACACTTTCAGGTCAGGCTGTAGGTGAAACCTGAAGACCACAGTTGCAGACCCAACTTTCAGGCAGTGCTTTTGACCTGCGACTTCTGCGGAGGGGAAGCTCTCTCTCCAACTTCTTGCTCCCTGTCCTCTGGTGGACAGGAGATGTTACTGCAGCTTCACGGGGATTACTTCTGTTCTACAAGTAAACCCTAAAAATCTACTAACCATAAAGCTGCTTTTTTAGAGCAGTTAAAGTGGGTAGTTGGAAAGGATATGCGTCTCAAATCTGCTTGGTTTGGCAGTGTTGGAATTTTTAGGAAGGAAGAAAAAGATAGTCCTCATACTAGAGATGGAGAGCATGGATCTTGCCTGGATGAAAGGAAATTTTATGGTATAATATGCTTTATATGCCAAAGCACCAATAGCCTTGCTCTAAGTGACACATCTTAAAACTCCCCCCACTTCCTAATTTATATTGAAGTGTCTTCCATGTATGTTTTGCTATGATAGCAATTCTGGAAGTGCATATTCTATAGGGAAAAAAAGATTAAAGCTAATTAAAAACTAAATTTAAAAAACTAAATCAATGATTAAGTGGCATTCAATAATAATTAAAAGAGTCCAGAGGAAAAAGGTAATAATGAAGGGTTTTTAAGGGAAGATATCTTATAAAGAGCTTTGACCCATTCCTTGAGAGATAATTAAGACTTGTGGTGAAGGGTGGGGGGGGGGGGATGAAAGAACTGCTCTACCAGGGAAATGGCATGAGTAAAGTCATGGATGTGGAATGAATAAGTTATGTTCACATGAGAGAGGAATAGACCCTCCAGTAGTAGAAGAAACTGGTATTAGCAATTAGATATGAAGTCAAAGACATTCAGAGACACATTATAGAGGTATTTGAATGTTAGGAAAAATATTAGTCCAGCGAGTTAAAGGGAAAACATGGAACAAGTTTACTTTAATGAAAAGTACATTTCTTTTTGTTCTTTTTAAAATTTTTTTTTAGTTGTAGATGGACACAATACCTTTATTTATTTATTTTTATTTGGTGCTGAGGATAGAACTCACTGGCTCATGTGTGCTAGGAAAGCACTCTGCCACTAAGCTACAACCCCAGCCCATAATATTTAGTATCTAGACCCTCTTAAACTCTTAATCCACCCATGGCTGAGATTTACTTATTCATTTAACACAAACAGTGACTGAATGGCTACCACCTGTGTGTGTCTGGTACATAGCTAGCTCTGGGAATGTGGTTATAAATAAGTCAAGGGAGGCCCTTTCCTTTGTGGAATTTACATTCTAGTGGTGAGAGAAGACAATAAGCAAATACACAAAAATCAATGACCAGAACTGTGACAAGATCAACTATCTAAGGAAGAAACTGGCTGGTGTGGCTGAGAGTAGGGTGAAGGTGGTTGGGGAAGTTTAAATAAGGAGGGACATTTGAACTGAGGCCTGAAGGGTAGCAATCAGTTAAGTGGTCTGGGTGAGGAAAAAGATCACTCAAAGACCCTTTACAAGAGACAGAGTGACCTGCAGAATTGGTGCATTCCTAAAGCCAAAGGTAGGCCAGTGGGGCTCAAATGTGTAAAATGAAAGTGGGCAGGAGTCAGATTATGTAAAGCCTGATAGAGAAGCATGGAGAGAAATTTGAATTCTGTTCTAAAAGATTTAAGCAGGTTAGTATGTGATTTATAAAGACGATATTGGCAAGTAAACATAATAGTTTTGAAGAGTTTTAATAAAAATCTAAAATATTACCCTTTTAATTTAGCAGTTTTCTTTTCCAGTAGGAAGGAAACTTTTTTTTTTTTAATTAAACTCCACGGATCCCTTTTAATGTCCCCAATAAAGGTCTGTTAGCCAAAGATTCATGGATTCTTAGGGAGTGCACGGATGGACTTCCAAGGGTCCAGGAGTTCCTTGAAGTTTTATGTATATATGCTTGTGTGTGTTTCTCTGTGAGTTTGTCCCTAGCTTTCAACAGATTTTCAAAGGATTTTATCACAAAAAAAAGTGAGACCTATTTCACATTTATGTCTTAAGTGTGCTTTTTGAAGAGTGGTCCCTGCTCTTGTCTTAGGGTTCATGGCACTGTACAATCAAATTACATTTCTGGAAAGAAGGAAGTTCTGTCTCAAGAGATGGCAGTATGATGGAGGAGGGCAGTATTTTCAGGAGAAAAGGAGAGAATGTTCTAAGTTTGTCACTAACAGAACTTCACAAAAATATTTTTTCCACCTGTGTAGTGAGAGAAGTAGAAGAGACCTATGACAATATCTGAGATCAATCCACTCACTTTACATATAAGACAGTGAAGATCCAGAGAGGTTATGTGGCTTGCCCAAGACTACACAGCCAGTTAGAAACCAACCTTGAATTATAAATAGGTCTCCCAGCTATCAATATCAGACTCTATAATCCTAATCTAAAGATTTACAAAGAAACTGGACCTAATATTGATCTTGATATTTGCTTAACATGCACCAACCCCAGAGTTCCACCAAAGAGAGAGAGCTTAAAAGTTTACTGGGAATTAGGGTTGAATTTTATTCAATTACACAAATACTCATTCCTAAGGAATTAGAGGGAAATAAAATTTTTCAAAAATTTGCAACATTAGCCAGGGTAGTGGTGCACACCTGTATTCCCAGCCCCTGGGGAGGATGAGACAGGAGGATTGCAAGTTCAAAGCAGTTTAGTGAGATCCTAAACAACTGAGCAAGACCCTGTCTCTAAATAAAATATAAAAAGTGCCTGGGGAGGGCTGGGATTGTGGCTCAGTGGCAGAGCACTTGCCTCTCACGTGTGAGGCACTGGGTTTAACCCTTAGCACCACATAAAATAAATGAATAAAAAAATAAATGTATTGTGTCCACCTATAACTAAAAAAATATTTTAAAAAGCTGGGGAAGGCTGGGGATGTGGCTCCGTGGTAAAGTGCCTTTGGGTTCAACCCCTGATACCAAAAAAGAAAAGTGAAAGATTTCATCCCTGAAAGAGATGAAAAACATCAATGTAAAGATGCACAACCAGCCACCAGGAACAGTGGGGCCGGCCTATAATTTCAGTGGATTCAGGGCCTGACACAGGAGGATCATAAGTCCAATGCCAATTTAGGAAGGCCCTCACCAACTAAGTGAGACTCTGTCTCAAAATAAAAAGGGCCGAGGAAATAGCTTAATGGTAAAGGGCCCCTGGGTTCCGTATTTAGTGCATCCCCACCAAAAAAAGAAAAAAAAAGTATAAGCAGCCTTTTCTCCAAGATGTTGCAGAAAGAAAAAAAAAAAAAAGGAAGTTCTTCTCTTTCGCAAAACCAAAGCCAAGGCTTTGAAGGCCAAGAAGACAATGATAAAAGGAGTACACAGCCACACAATAAAAAGAAGACCCACATGTTACCCACCCTCCAGTTCCCTGAGACAGCAGTTCTGGAGGCAGCTCAAATACCCCCAGAAGAGTGCCCCTGGGAGAAACAAGCTTGACCACTATGCCATCAAGTTCCCCTAACCACCGAGTCTGCTGTGAAGTAGATGGAAAACAAGACACTTGTACTCATAGTGGATGTCAAGGTCAGCAAGGACAAATCAAACAGGCTGTGAAGAAGCTCTGTGACACTGTGAGGCCTAGTGGGGAGAAGAAAGCATATATTCCACTTATTCCTGATTATGATGCCTTTGGATATTGCTAACAAAATAGGGATCATCTAAATGGAGTCTTACTGGATAATTCTAAGAGGACATTTTCCACCACACACAAGATGTATGACCAGGCAAGAATAAATAGGAGTAACACTCGCAACACTCTTTGTTGTCCATAAATAGCTGATCTATTTAATAAATATAAATTTAAGAAATATAAACAGATAAGTTATAAAAATTAGATGATTTTTCACTTACTGGTCTTGCAATGATTTTAGAAATGGGTAATCTCATAATTGAGTCAAGAGTATGGAGAAACAGACTTTCTCAATACCACTGATGAAAGTATATAAGTTGGTCTATTCTGGAGGGCAATTTGGCAATATGATTTCAAAAGTCTTTTAAAATGCATATCCAGCAATTCTACTTTAAGAATTTATCTTAAGAAGATTATAGTACTATTTTCAAAGACATATGAATAAGTATGTTAATCATTACCTAAAATAATTGTTGACATTTATTGAAAATTACCTCATT